TCCCCCCCCGATGCGAATGGGATCGCCCCCCCCCGCCCGCTGGATGGGTAAGTACGCCCATGAGCCTCGCGAAGGTCCCCTCCTCCTCCTCCTCCTCCTCCTCCTCCTCCTCCTCCTCCTCCTCCTCCTCCTCCTATGGGATATTCCCCCCCCCTCCTCCCCTGTGTGTGGCCCTGTGGGCGTGGCGTGGCGGAAGGGGGGTGCCGATGCCCCCGCGCCTCCCTCTGTGGCTGTGGGGTGGTGCCGTCGTCGTCGTCGTCGTCGTCGTCGTCGTCGTCGTCGTCGTCGTCGTCGTCGTCGTCGTCGTCGTCGTCGTCGTCGTCGTCGTCGTCGACGTCGCCCCCCCATCCCATTTGGGGGTCGGGGAACCCTGGGACCTACCCCATCTGGGGGGTAAGGGGGGCCTGTGGAACCCTGGGGCCCATCCAATCTGGGAGGAGGGGGCTGTGAACCCTCACCCGGGGTCATACATGCTGCCCCCTTGGGCAGGAAGGCGGGGGGGAAGAGGAACGGACGGGAAGAGGGGGGGAGACAAAATGGAAGAAAGAATCGCTCCTCACTGATTCCTCCACCTCCCCCTCTTCCTAAGGGGAGCCGTGGTGCGGCGAGGCAGACTTCGCGAAGAGCAGCCGCATGGGGTCGCCCTCGTAGCCGAAAGTCGGCTGCACGCCCAAGAACACGTTGCCGAAACGCTTGCCGTAGATCAGCATGTCGCGCCCGTCCGTGTTCAGATTGCCTTCTTTTGTGTCGGAAGGGGGTTGACAGAAATTCGACGGCCCAACGGGTCAGAGGCGTGCTGAGATCCCCAGCTACACGTTTACAATTTCTAGTTCGCGCGCACGTGGCGGCCCCTGGGAGTCACAGAACGAAAAGTACCCCGCCGAAACCCTGGAGACTCCCCGCAAGGTCCCCCAGAGCGCCCCAGACGCCCTCCAGACGGTGCTAAAGGCCCCGAGTCGCCGAAAGATCCTCCCATGATGCCCAAGATGGCCTCCGGACAGCCCCGAGAGAACCTCCAGAGGCCCTCCAAGAGGGCCCCAAGAAGCACAAATGGCCCCACCCCCTTGAAAATTCACATTTTTCGCATGTGCGACTTTTGAGGTTGCACAACATTCAACACTGCCTAGAAGGCCCTCATCGCCCCAAGACGGCCCAACATGCCCCAAAGATGAGCCCAAGACGGCCCCAGAGCGCTGAAATACAGCCCAAACGGCTCCTCAAGACGGCTCCAGAGCCTCCCAGAAGACCCCAGGAGCGGTTCCCCCGAGCTGCTATGTCCAGCCTTTTCCCGCGAGATCGCTCACGTGACGGCCAGCAGGGCCCCAAGAAGCTCCCAGAGGCCCCCAAATACTATCCCAAGAAGGCCCGAAGAGCCTCCCAAGAGGCCCCCCAAGAAACCCCACGACGTCTCAGAAAAACCTGGATGACCTTCCCGCGGCTCCGCACTCCACACGAACACTCCGTATATTTATCGGCAGAGATGCGATAATGTGGGCCAGCAGAACGAGCGAAACGACTAAACACATGAAAAGACCAAACTGAACCGAGAACCGAGAACCATGACCGAACCGGACCGAACCGACCAAAACACAAAACATCAAAAACCGAACTGGATCGAACCCGATCCTCCGCACACAGCCGAACTGGTCTTAACCGAACTGGATCGAAACCGGAACCGAACCAGAAGCGGACCAGAACCGAACCGGCGGACCAACACCGGACTCCGAGGGAGGAAGAGCCCGAGGGGCCCGAGGGGCCCGAGGGGCCTTTGGACGCTTACGGAGGCCCATGGCCCCAAGCCCCAAGGGGGCCTATGGTTGGGGCCCCAAGGGAGCCTATGGGGGCCCCAAGGGGGCCGATGGGCGCCCCAAGGGGGCCTACGGGGGCCCATGGGGGCCTACAGGAGCCTCAGGGGGCCTATGGGCGTCTGAGGGGGCCTACGGAGGCCGATAGGGGGCCTAAGGGGGCCTGTGAGGGCCTAAGGGGGCCTAAAGGGGCCTAAGGGGCCTACAGGGGCCTAAGGAGATCTAAGAGGGCCCATGGGGGCCTCAGGGGGTCCCATGGGGGCTGGCCGCCGAAGAGCACCGGCCCTTGCCGTCGCCCCCCACAGGCCCTCCTTAGGCCTCCCATAAGCACCCAGAGGCCCCGTGTAGGCCCCCATATAGGCCCCCACAGGCCCCCATAGGCCCCATAGATAGGCCCCACCCGCAGGCCCCCATAGGCCCCGATAGGCCCCAGCAGGGCCCCGTAGGCACCCTCAGGCACCCGCAGGCACCCGCAGGCCCCTGTCGGCCTCCACAGGCCCCCATGGACCCCCATAAGCCCCCTATGGGGCCCTGCCCCACGTCCCCGAACCCCGAACAGAACCGGAACCGACTCGAACCGGAGCCGGCTCGAACCAGAACCGATCATACCTTTCGGAAATCCAGAACCGATTCGAACCCGTACTTAACCCAAGCCGGTCAGGCGGAAACCCCGAACTGGCGTCAAACCGAACCAGCCAAGCGAAACCGAACCGGACTGGAAACCAGACCGAACAAGACCGAACCGGTGCCTAAATCTGACAATGACGCAAAACGTGAAGTCCCAGAGCTCACATCATAAACCGTGACCACTTCTGTCGGCGGCGAGTTCGGGGGGAAGTGAGAAGGGGCGGGCCTTCTCAGAAAGCTCTGAAGTCCCCCTGCCTTCTGACAAGTTTTCTAAGCCTTCCCCGAAGATACAGAAAACCTCTCAGAAGGCCCGAGGCCTTCTGAGAAGCCCCGCTGCCTTCTGAGAAGGCCTTCACCTTCTCACTGTACCCCCTCGCGCGTCGCCGATTCTGGCGGAGCAACTCCAAACAGTCGCACTCACCGTCCGAAAGGGCGGACACATCGCTCACTGCAGATCGTGGTCTGCGAGACGCCACGCCGCCACGTCCCGCGCTGGGATGTAGTTCCCATAGGCTCTTGTGCCTGGCAGGGCTAGGATATGCAGCACTCCAGGTCCCAAAGTGGGATACGAGACGACGCCGGGCCTGAGCACGCCTACTCTTGTGCCCCCAGAATCGCGCTTGCACTCAGGGGCTCTGACGCAACAATCCCCGGGCAGCGCTTGCACGTAATGATCCTTTTACAGTGGAAACCCATGCCAGGAAACACCCTGCTTCCATCCAGGGTGCCCTGAGTGTCTTGGGCTTCGATAGCTCTGCAGTGGAAAGCGCGACGCTCCCACGCCAAAAATCAATGGACGTCCTGGGATCTCAGGTTTAGGTTTCTTGTGGGAGGTTTCTTGTGGACTGCCCTCCACTGCACCTGCCTTGAGAAGTAGTTGGGCGGGTTCTGCGAGGCTTCGCCCAGTCGGCGGCCGCGGGCCGCGTGGGCGCCCCGTGCGCTGGGCGCGGGCGTGGCGAGGTTCCGCCTGCCTGCTGTGCGGCCGCGGGAACATCGTGGACGCACCGTGCTCCAGGCCTCGGAAGAAACCAGCGAGCGCTCGTGCCGCAGCCACCTGTCAATGCCCCCCCCCCCAATGATCGGCGTTGGCGGTGGGCCGAAGGAGCTGCACTTCGACCGCAGCCCTCCCCGCGCGCGCCCACCGCCGCGAAGTTGTGGGGAGCGGGGGAGGGCCCACGAATGGCTTCCCTCGGCCGTCTGGGCGGGCGTGGCGAGGCTTCGCCAGGCGGGCGGCCGTGGCCTGTGGCAAAAGCCTGTGGCTTGTGGCCAGTGGCAAGAAGGCCTGTGGCTTGTCGCAAGTGGCCGAAAGCCAGTGACCAGTGGCCCGTGGCCCGCGACAGAAGGACCGTGGCCAGTGGCCTGTGGCCTGTGGCCTGTGGCCAAAAGCCAGCGGCGTGGGAGCGTCGTCGGGCGCCCGTGGGACCGGGCCCGTCGAGGCTCCGCCCGGCGGGCGGCCGCGGGCGCGCCGTTGGCGCCCCCGTGCCGGGCGGGTCCCCTCCGGCGAGTCGCTGGGCGGCGGCCGTGGGCGCCTCGATGGGCGCCTCGAGCTGCTCGCAAGGCGGTGCTTGCATCACACAGCTTACAACACTTGCCTGCGCATCAAGGCTTGCACCACACAGCTTTCAGAACATACACACCTACATACATCCATACACACCTACATACATACATACATACATACATACATACATACATACATACATACATACAGACAGACAGACAGACAGACAGACAGACAGACAGACAGACAGACAGACAGACAGACAGACAAATATATATATATATATATGTGTATACATATATATATATGTATCACGACGTAGCGTGCCCCACAGTACTTACGCACACGGCACTGCTGACAGCACATGCTTGCGCCACATGGATTCCAGTGCGCGTAGCTTGCACCACATAGCGTGCACCACATGGCTTACACGGCCAGAGTGCAATCGCTCACTGCTTGGTTTCGACACTGGCGCGCATATCACATTGCGTCTCCACGCGGTGGATGTACGAAAGAGAAGAGGACGACGAAACTCCATTCCCCTGCATCTTCGCAAACTCCCGATGTCCTCCGCATTGCCCTCATTCCATCCTGCCATCCTCCGTTCCTGCGAGTCTCCTCCTCCTCCTCCTCCTCATCTTCCTCTTCCTCATCCTCCTCCTCCTCATCATCATAAGTCCCTCCTCGCCGCCTCACCCTCCGTCCTAACTCCCTCATCTCCTTTCATCCTCGTCCTGCTGACCATCACCATCATCATCATCCTCATCATCAGAATCCTCATCATCATCACCATCACCATCACCATCACCATCACCATTACCATCATCATCAGCATCATCATCGTCATCATCATCATCATCATCATCATCATCATCATCACCGGCAGCATCATCAGCATCATCGTCAGCAGCATCATCACCATCACTACCAACATCGTCATCATCATCACCACCACCACGATCATCGCTATCCTGGTCCTCCACCTCCTGCTCCTCCTCCTCCTCCTCTCAGCACCATCATCATCAACACCTTCATCAGCATCATCATCATCATCATCATCATCAGCA